GAGTTAGCCTGATATAAAGATGGAAAAATGTTGACGTGTTTCTTTTCTCTTACATCTGCATTGTGTGGACTATCTAGAGAAGATCAATAGAGGATTATCATATAATAAGTACTTATCCCTCTTCACTACCTGCTCTTCACATTTATATATACCTCAAACCGACAAAAAGTTAGAATGACCAGAGGTTGGAACTATTGAATTTAGAAAGCGCTATTTTATATAGTCCTTTAGTACAAGACAGCTTTATTTAACACTTTCTGCAGTTGATATCGAGTTTCAGCATTAGGTATTTATATATGGCACCCCTGACTAACCAGAGTGAGAAGCATTTGGTTTCATTTATTTGAAATCAAAAATGTTTTGGTCTATATTTCAACAATCTTTAAACTTACGGATTTGTGTAAAAAGTGACTTGAGTCCGAATTTAATGAATTTAAGCCCCGTCTCATATCCGCCAAAAACCAGTTTCAATTGAGCGCCGGCTTAAATCTTGAAAAATTTAATACAATTTTAAGTGGAGTCCAAACATATTTGAGCCGCAGCTTAAATTTAAGCCGCGGCTCAAATTCTTTAAATTCGGACTTTGTGCATTGCTACAGCAGGAAAACATCAGAATAAACACTAATAAGAATAAGAATAAAACATATTTATAGCTTAAAGTCATTTGAAATTACACTTACAGTCCCTTCAAGTGGAAAAAATTGAAGAAAAATATATAAACAAGCGTATGTGAGATTACTGAATTCAGAGTTTTTATGACAAAGCTTATAGAAAATTAATTGACCAAAGCTGAACTAATTTCAATACAATGTCTTTAAAGATTAAACAGATCTAGAGAATCCTCCACTTCGTTTGATCATGGTTTCAGAAATCATCTTTTATTGCAATGAAATAAAAATGTTTCCGATTAAATAGCTATCCTTTTAAATTTTCGTGAACCCTCCCTTTAATTCTCTAGTTCCCTAGCCTTATATTTGATCTGGTCTGTGATCTCCTTCTAGATTCTTTAATGTGTGACCAGACTGGAGATTTGTCATCCTGTGGTCTAGGAGAGGCACCTCCCACTTTTCCAACAGACAATCCACAATCTTTCTCTTTCAATTTTTCAAGGACTTTTCTTCCCATTCTTTCCCTTTCTTTCAAGTTTTATCCTTTTTATTTTATCCTTCTTATTCAATTTTTCAAGGACTTTGGTTCCCATTCTATGCTTCTTATTCAATTTTTCAAGGACTTTGCTTCCCATTCTATCCCTTTCTTTCAAGTTTTATCCTTCTTATTCAAGTTTTCAAAGACTTTGCTTCCCATTCTATGCTTCTTATTCAAGTTTTCAAGGACTTTGCTTCCCATTCTATGCTTCTTATTCAAGTTTTCAAGGACTTTGCTTCCCATTCTATCCCTTTCTTTCAAGTTTTATCCTTCTTATTCAGACTTTGCTTCCCATTCTATGCTTCTTATTCAAGTTTTCAAGGACTTTGCTTCCCATTCTATGCTTCTTATTCAAGTTTTCAAGGAATTTGCTTCTAATTTTATTTTTTCTTTCAAGTTTTCGAGGACTTTGCTTCCAATTCTAACCCTTTCTTTCGGGTTTTCAAGAACGTTGCTACTCTATTTCCTATTCTTCTCATTCAAGTTTTCAAGGACTTTGCTTCCCATTATATTATTCTTATTTGAGTTTTCAAGGGCTTTGCTTCCCATTATAATCTTCTTATTCGAGTTTTCAAGGACTTTGTTTCCCATTCTATTCTTCTCATTCAAGTTTTCAAGGACTTTGCTACCCAAACTCTCCTTCCAATTCTATTCTTTTTTTTAAGTTTTCAAGAACTTTGCTTCTCATGTTCTTATCTTCAATTTCAAGTTGTAATGGACTTTGCTTCCCATTCTATCTTTTTCTTTTAAGTTTTTGAGAACTTTGCTTCCCATTCTGTCCTTTCATTAATTTTTTGAAAAATTCACCACACAATTTTTTGGTCATAAAAACCGTCCTACCCTGTTTTTCCCAACAGCAATTAAAGACTAAAAATGTCAAAATAAAAGAAAATCTATATGTGCGTTCTTGATTCCAGAAAAATTAAACATGAAATCATGATTCCTAGTTCTCCCTTCCTTAGTTTAATCCAAGAAAAGAAAAGATCTAGAATTGATTAGACTCCTTCCTCAACTTTTCCATGAAAATTATTCTAAAATTCCAGGTTTAGACTTAAACCATATGATCGACTGAACATTAGAAACTTTTATAAAAATATATAGGATTGAGTCACAAACTCTGATTTTCTAATCTGTTTATCTTATCAACCCAATTTATTAGACCTAAGATATTTCAAAACATAAATTCTGTTAGATCAGAATGAATAAATGAATTAGAAAATTTAAATTAGTGGCAAAGACTCAACTTCTTTGTAATCATATGAAAACATGTAAAAAATCATATGAAAACATATAACAAATCACATGAAAACATATAAAAAAATCATATGAAAACATATAAAAATCATATGAAAATATATAAAAAATCATATGAAAATATATAAAAAATCATATGAAAATATATAAAAAATCATATGAAAATATATAAAAAAGTGAAATAAAAAAGGAAATGTTGTTAAATCACTGAAATCATACTTTTTGAGAAAAACGCTTTTTTTTGTCTAAGAAATATGAACTATTTTTGGGGATTTAAGTGATGAATCTCCCCCCACCCCACACACAATAGTCCCCCCCACCCACTCCAATACTTTCCCCTCCTTGAACCCTTGTGTTAACTAGAATTCCAATACTTACTCCTACAAGAAACTATAAATAGATACTAACTTTTATTCTATATTCTCTTAATGATTTCTTGCCAAATGAGGATTAAACAAAGATTTGGCAATTTCCTAAAACCAGTTCAAAATAAAGATATGAAACAGGGGCTCAAAAAAGGAATGTTTCAAGAGGTGGCCTCCTTTTCCCCCGAATACCGCAGCGCTCGGCCCCAAAATTATCTCTATTTGACCTAACATAGTCCAATTAATAAATGTATACTACAATTAATCACACAGCCGCAGTATCAGAGGCTATACTCCAAATTTATCTAAACTTTCCCCTAATTCTATTTTTTATCTCTTTGGAATCAAATTAGTCGCGTTCAATTCTCTCTCATCTTCTTGGATTCAAATTTGTGACAGAGAGGTTTAAAGAGCTGTGGTTAAACTCCCGGAAAGCAAATAAAGAAACCTAATGAAAAAGGTTATAAGACTTTTCCTCAGTTTAAAAATGTGCAGATTTAGAACAAACACAAGTATGAGATAATCTGATAAATTGTAAATGTAAGTTCACAAAAAACATGATAAATCCATCACGTCAAACTAAAGTAAATTCCACGTTAGATTAAAATCTTATATTTTTTCCTATTATGACACTTCTTTTAGAAGGAGCTATTGAGAGGAACACACATGTCTTGATTTTGAATTTGCTTTTCTCATAGAAGAAACCAAAACTGGAGGAAAAAGTTCAAATGAAATTATAATTAATGGCGTGAAATTATTCATTTCGTGAGAGACGGTAATAATTTAACTATTCCACCTCATTATTCCCCCCCCCCCACCCCTGGTCTGGTCTGTGCTGCAAAAAGGGGGGGGGGGTGTTAGGTAAAAATAATGGAGATAAAAAATATATAAAATATGTTTGGTTTTATAATATCGAAATTAACATCGCGTATGTTAATACTGATAATTATATGGTTCATCTTGAACGCTGGATTTCGATATCCAGTGTGGGTACTTTAAAATAAAAAATAACAATGCTTGATCCCCAGAGATTGAGAATATTTTCTTAAAAAGAACATTTTAAGATAAGATTTGGTAAAGGAGGAAAATGCCAAGAAAAGTTAATGTATCTGTACACTACTGTGAAGGAAGAGGGAAATGTATCTGGACGCTAAGCTGTGAACGGAGGGGGGAAATGAGGTTGGGAGGGTGATGGTTCTTGCGAGGAGGGGCCGGGGGGGGGGGGGGGGTCCGCCCAAATAGTTGTAAAAGCTTCTGAGCATTGTTCATTTACATTACTACTAGATGTCATGATAATATACTTTTCATATTTAACAAAATAAAGGCAAACAAAAGAAAACAGAAGAATGATGCAATTTTCATTATAAAATGCAGATGGTAGAGGAAAACATATTATGAATTAAATACAAGGCACAAAAGCAAGTTTTTGTGGAAAATTATGCTAAAATGTACATTATTTTAACTTTTTACATAACCACTAACTCATATTATATTATATTCCGTTGCTAAACCAGATTACGGATTATATGTAAATTTTTAATTCTGTGAATTTTTACAACTTTTAGAAATTCAAAAATCGATTGGGAATATAATAATATTATGTTAGCTTAAAGGAACTGACTTCTTGCCACAAAATCAAATTTTCTAATCCCTATATCATTGCAACCTGATGGTGTAAACCTTTGATATTTCAAACTTAGATCATTTGATCTAACAGAATTCATAGTTTGAAATATCTAAAGCCTCAGGCATTGGGTTGCAAAGATATAGGTATTAGAAAATCAGAGTTTGTTGCAAGAACTCATTTCCGTTGATCATATAAGAGTTCTACTAACTACATGATATTAAAGAGGAGAGAGTGATTTGAAACACAGGCACAAACATGCAGTCATTTAATGGTTGCAATTGCTCGAGCAAAAAATCTATGAGAACTTTGCCAATTACAACTTAACTAGTTTTTAAGACAAAATAATGTATTTTAGGGAACTATTTTTTGTAAACAACCGCCAAAGGAAGTCTTAAACTTGTTTCATGTGATAAAAACTAAGTTTTTAAAGAATGACTTCTTTATAAACAACTCGCAAGTCTGTAAAGAACTACCATCTATGTATGATCAAACCAAAGATTGTAGTTTTTTTAACAATTTAACAAAATCTAAGCTTTAGGTTTCTTAGCACCTATCCTTCATTAATATTTTTGAAACTAAATAAGTTTACTGATAACTAAATAAAATACCTCGTCGACTCTGTCCAGTAGAGTAGGATGAGTAGGATGAGACGAATGAGAAGGATGGGACGAATGAGAAGGATGAGACGAATGAGAAGGATGGGACGAATGAGAAGGATGAGACGAATTTCTATGCTGTAAGGTAGCTGGAGTCAGGGTGTATATATCCGTTTGTCTAGGTTTCTCATCATCATCATCCTATCATAGAATAAAACTACAGTTTAACGGACTGTTAGCGTTATTTCAAACATGGCAATGCCCGATTCACAGCGATACCCTAGAAATCTATATCAAATTAATAATGTGGAAGATAACTTTGTTTTCTTAGGTTAGTGTGTAATTCTGATTTAGTTCATATATGTTTTCATGCAGTAGACATCGCAAGTTACTTTTGTAGAGAAACCACAGTTAAGACTAATCATTTTTTTAAATTATAAACAATGATCAGACAAAGCTTTAAAGGGTACCATTGTAAATCGGACATTACCAACTTTGCATGAAGGGTTACTTGAAATTAGCTTACAATCCCTTTAACACATTCAAAACTACAGTGTATACTATTATTATCTACTAAAAGCAATAAAATCCATAAACCCCAAATCCGGGATTTCCAAAATGTGATTTTTAACGATGCTTATTTGAATTTAAATCTATCAAATAAAACTGATATGGAATTATGTTTCAATATCTCCTTTATTTCCCTGTATTGTAAGTACAAAAATTGAGGGTGATTACAGGTGATCCCAAGACTGTATTGCAAAATTGTAAAAGAATTGAGTCTTTGCCACAAACTCTGCTTTTCTAAACACTATATCTTTGGATTCCAGTGTCGTAGACCTTAGATATTTCAAACTATGAATTGTGTTAGATCAAATAATATAAGTTTGAAATATCAAAGATTTACGACATTGGGTTCCAAAGATATAGGGAATATAAATTCAGAGTTTGTGGCAAAGACTCAATTCCTTTGCTTTCATTGAGTTCTTGCCACTAACTCTGAATTTCAAATCCATATATCTTTGTAATCCAATGCCGTAGATCTTAGATATTTCAAACTATGAATTCTGTAAGATCAAATAATCTAAGTATGAAATATCAAAGGTTTTCGTTATTAGGTTGCAAAGTTACAGGGGTTAGAAAATTTGAGTTTGTGGCAAGGATTCAAATCCATTATTCAAAGTTTTGAATCTGCATGCAGATTCAAAAATTAAAGAAGATTTCATAAATTAAAGAAAGAAAGTCCCAACGGTTACAAAAGTCCTTTTTTTGTTCATTTTTCTTCCATTCAATCCGTTATGAAAAAAATTTCGCATCTTCTATATATGTAAATAAGTATTTTGCATATTTGATCATTTGAAAATGGAGTTGGTCAATTTTCTAAGTGAAAGTTTAGATTTTCAGGCATAGCTAGAAAAGCAATAAAACTAGTTTTTTTGTTTCAATTTGTCAAATTTTCATATATTTCTGAGTCATCTAAAAACCGAAACAAATCTTAAATTTCTTTTAAGTTTAAAAGTAGCGGAATTTTTGTGCAACATAAACCTTGCTATACATTATCATTTTAAAAACGATTAATAGGTCGTCAATGCATTCTCATATTCTTGATTTCTTTTTGACACCATTACCTTTAAACGTAACATTTCTGTGAATGAAGCATAATTCATTGTTTTCAAACTTAATTCGTGGGCCATAAAAAAGTATCGTTGACAGTTGAATACAAATTAAAAGGCTCTCGTTGTGAATCCCCAATGGAACTTTGAAAGCAAAGATTTGCTTAAAATCATGTTAAGGCAGTCCATGCCCTAGGTTGAGAGTATATATACACCTTTACTCTTTCCCTTATTTTTCACATTTACATATTCAATACTTTTTGTTGGACATTTAAAAGTTACAATATTAAATCTTTTTCACTGATTTGCAATAATAGATTAAGCTTGACTGAGTTTATTCTAATAAATATGTACCCGTATCTATTGCTGGTTTTGCGCGAGTCTTGTTCAGTTAAAGAGACTGTAGGCGTAATTTCAAGTGACCCTTCATTAATAAAATATCGTTTCCGATTCACAACAGTGCCCTTTAAAACTTTTACTGGTCAGAAAATAAATAATTACATTCAACTTTTTTTTAACCCGCTTCAGACATAAACATTCGGCAATTTCTAGGTTTACATGTAACATGTAACATCAACAGGTAAACTTTTTAGCGTACAATCCCGTTTTATGTCAATTCGAACACTATCTGAGAAATAACCACAAAGGGTTCTTTTTCCTCAAAGTCAAAGGTTTACAGGATACCTCTTGTGAATCGGGCATTGCCATCTTTGAACGGAGGGTCCCTTGAAATTAGGCGTACAGTCCCTTTAAGTGTGATAATTACCTCGAGATCACTCTCAGCATTATATCCGTCCTCCTCCTCGGTATTTGAACAGTCTTGTTCTACTCCCATCTTCTTCAAAGCTCCTTCAAGACGATCATATTCATCCCGTAACTTCCTAAATACAAAAATAGTTGTATTTGATCTGAAAAAAAAACTATGAAACTGTTTTTCTTGGTTTTTTTTGTGGTATTTTATCTAATTTAAATTTGTTAATTATTAAAATTGTTGTAAAATGTTTTTAATTATTTTTCCCGTCAGTTTAAATTCCGTTGGATGATTGGATAATAACACATGCAACTAGTTTCTGTTAAAAACGAATATTTAGATTGAAAAAATAATAAAATAATTAGCGATCATTAATATTGATGTACATTTCGAGACGAATGTCAATATATATAATAATTAATAAGACGACAATTCAAAAAAGTATACAACTTACATCTCAAACTATTTTTTAAACACGGACACTTTCGACTGAATATAATAGAGTTGATAGAAGAATAAAATAGCTAGAATAGAATAGAATAGATTTTATTAGAATATAATATAATTTAATAATTTAGAGTAGAATAGAAAAAATAATTTAGTAAAAATTTACTGCTCAGATAATGAAAGATAAATGATTTTTTAAACCCAGTTTTTAAAAACTAAATTGCGAGATAATCCAAAGGCGATAAAAGAATTTATACTTGAATTTTATAATGTATGTTAATTTGCCTAAGTATCCTCAAATTATCAATTCAAATTCTCGTATAATATTCAAATTTATCTCCCTTGGTATACATTCAACCTTTATTCTCAACCTTTATCCTACGTAGCCCAGTTTATAAATGTAAGAAAAGAGCAGGTAATTTCGAACAAAACCTTGGACCTGAAACCTGGGACTAAACCTGAAACCTTAATGTTAAAACCTTAGATCTGTACTGAACTGAAATCTTAGAACTAAACCTAAAACCTTAGAAATAAACCTTAAACCTAGAATCTTAAATCAAAACAAACCTGAAACCTTAAAACTAAACTTTAAACCTGAAACCTTAGACTCTAGCCAAAACCTTTGAACAAAACCTAAAACCTAATAAATAAACTTGAAAGCTTAGAACTAAACTTGAAACCTTAGAACTAAACTTGAAACCTTAGAGACCTTAAATCTAAACATGAAACCTAAAACCTTATATTTAAGCGAACCTGACCTCTTAGAACTATTTTTAAATCTTAGAACCTAACCTTAAACCTTAGAGCTGAACCTTATATCTAAAACCTTAGAATTAAACTGAACCATTAGAGGTTTTAACCTTAATCTTTACAACTGAATCTTGAATTAGAAACTTTAGAATTAAACCTTAAATTTAAACCACTAGAATTAAACCTTAATTTGAACCACTAGAACTAAACCTTAAATTCGAACCACTAGAATTAAACCTTAATTGGAACCACTAGAACTAAACCTTTAATTCGAACCACTAGAATTAAACCTTAATTTGAACCACTAGAACTAAACCTTAAATTTGAACTACAAGAACTAAACCTTAAAATCGAACCACTAGAATTAAACCTTAATTTTAACTACTAAAACTAAACCTTAAATTTGAACAACTAGAACTAAACCTTAAGTTTGAACTACTAAAACTAAACCTTAAATTTGAACCATTAGAATTAAACCTTAAATTCAAACCACTAGAAATAAACCTTAAATTCGAACCGCTAGAATTAAACCTTAATTTGAACTACTTAAACTAAACCTTAAATTTGTACTACTAGAACTAAACCTTTAATTTGAACTACAAGAACTAAACCTTAAATTTTAACCATTATAATTAAACCTCATATTCGAACTACTAGAACTAAACTTTAAGTTTAAACCACTAGAACTAAACCTTAAATTCGAACCGCTAGAATTAAACCTTAATTTGAACTTCTTAAATTAAACCTTAAAATTGTACTAAACCTTAAATTTGAACTACAAGAACTAAACCATAAAATTGAACCACTAGAATTAAAATTAAAATTTTAACCATAGCAATAAACCTTAAATTAAAACCATTAGAACTAAACCTTAAATTTTAACCACTAGAATTAAACCTCATATTCGAACTACTAGAACTAAACCTTAAATTTAAACCACTAGAACAAAACTTTAAATTTGAACTTCTAGAACTAAACCTTAAATTTTAACCCTCAGAATTAAAATTAAAATTTTAACTATTAGAATTAAACCTTAAATTCGAACCAATAGAATTAAACCTTAAATTCGAACCACTAGAATTAAACCTTAAATTCAAACCACTAGAAATAAACCTTAAATTCAAACCACTAGAAATAAACCTTAAACCTTAGGATTAAACTATAACAACTTTTAACCTGACATTATAAAGCTGAAATCTGGGTTTAAAAACACCGGAACCGTGTAGCTCAAACCTAAAACTTAAAACTAAAATCTTAAACCCTTAAACCATAATTACGAAGCTAGAGCCAAAATTTAAACAAAAACCTTCAGCATGAATTGAACCATTAAACCCAAATACTGATATCTGAAACTATACGCAAACAAGAAATTAAGTTTAAAGAAATAAAGCTGTATAGTGTATACATGTAATAAATATCGGGTAAGTATAGACCTGGAGCCAGACATAAATCTGGAGAGAGAGTTTGATGAAGTAAGGAAGAAAAAACACCTGGGGCAATAATGTTTGGAGTCAAGAGGTCGACATAAAAAAGATGTACAGCAAGAAGAAGTACAGCAAGAAGAGGCACAGAAAGAAGATGTATACAGATGTACGGGAAGAACAGCATAAAGAAGAGTGCCAAGATGTTCCCAAGCAGAAGTGCCAAATGAGTATGAAAAGAGGTGTCAGACGCGATACGGACAGCAGTGTAACATCAACTATAACGAAAAGTATTCCATCAAAGATGAGAAGGATTATATGGACGGGATACAAGAAGAAGTATTCTAAGACACAGGAACAGGACTGCGGCACGATACAAAACCAGTTGGAGACTATGAACGGCAAACTGTGTCATGAAGTGTTATGGAGCGAATGCTATAATAACCCCAAGAAGGAGTACTAGAGCATGCAGAAGTCCGTGAAGAAGATCACCCATTAGAAAAAGTGCAACATCGGGACTGATCACCAGTGCAAGGTTGAAAATGTCCGGCAATGTAGGTTCCTGAACAAGAGAAGGTTAGAGAATGCAACCGGGTAAACAATCATGTCTGCAATGGTATCCATGGTGATGAAGTGATCTCTATGCAGTACACGGAGGTACCCAAGGAAAAGGTTGGGATGAATCTACTCAAGTATACCAGAATATTCCCAAGATGGTGTTCCAGAATGTTCAAAAGGTAAATTCTTGGGTCAAGTCTAGACAAGAATGACATGATAGGCCAAGAGAAGAATGACATGAAGTTCTCAGAGTGTATACTGACTAAGTATCTGTATACAAGAATGCAAATCTGTCAATGTTCCTGTGAGCAGCCCTGTACAAAATAAATCCTGCCATGATGTTACAGGACAGATTTCTATATTGGTTCCTAGACAGAAATGTGACAGTAAATCAAGAGATGTCTGTCATCAGGTTCCAAAGGAGGTCTACAACAGTGTACACAAGAAGTAATAAACTCAAGTTACAACAGAAACCAAGAATGGAATAAATGAAGATATGGAGCTGCTGGAAATAAAGAAGTATGTTGAAAATAAGGGATAAATAACCCTAATTTTCAATACTCCCTCCCCTCCCCCCCATTTGTAATAAATTTATAATTTATTTATAATTTATAATTTCGAACATATCGAAAAAATTGTCGACATTACGAACATATTAGGAGGGATATAAAAATTAGTTATATATCATGTGACATTCAGATTCTGATTCATAATTTCGAAATAGATGTTCACAAGTACGTGCATTTGATAGTTATATTTTAAGAACAAAAATGCTAGATTTTTCTTTTTAACAGTGCATATATATATATATAGCATAAAGATCAGACCTGATAAATCTGAGCTTCTAAAACTCCGATATTGGTGAAGCAATATCATATCTATATAGTATTTAATCTCGTATATTAACAGTGCATATATATATAGCATAAAGATCAGACCTGATAAATCTGAGCTTCTAAAACTCCGATATTGGTGAAGCAATATCATATCTATATAGTATTTAATCTCGTATATATTAACAGTGCATATTTATATAGTATAAAGATCAGACCTGATAAATCTGAGCTTCTAAAACTCCGATATTGGTGAAGCAATATCATATCTATATAGTATTTAATCTCGTATATATTAACAGTGCATATTTATATAGTATAAAGATCAGACCTGATAAATCTGAGCTTCTAAAACTCCGATATTGGTGAAGCAATATCATATCTATATAGTATTTAATCTCGTATATATTAATAGAGCCAGATATTTATAGATGAGAAATCAGTCTTTAGTTGCCAAACATTAGGTTAATTTAGAGTGAACCTTAAAAATTAACAATTATTTTTTCACGAGCATAAAAAAGAAAAGAAACTCTAAAAAATGTTTTGTTCACTTCAAATAGACATCAAAATTTACTTTTACTCTGAAAAGCGAGAAAAACTAATTTGTTTAGTTGCTTGCATATAAAGATTTAATTTTAAAAGCTTTACAAAAAAGGGGGGAATTGTCTGAAAATATGCAAGGCTTATTTCTAAAGTGAAATAAAATTTTTGATTTAATTTAGTTTAAATTTGAAGACATTGCACTCAAATAATACGAATACGATGAATAATGTACAAACGCTGCTTACTGGACATATATATAATTCATATGTACATATTAAATATATTTAAGATACAATAACATTAATTATTAGTTCTAAACATTGGATTAGTATAATCCTAGCTTAGGGAAAATAAGAAGTTGTTTCATGTCAATATAAACACATTTTATGGACATTTACAGGATTAGGATGTTGAGTAGCCTTCATAATATCATTCAAACTACAAAGAGTGTGGGAAAATTTAAAAAGATTTACATTCAAAATTATAGCAATTAAATATTCAGATTTATATGATGGCCTGTAGTCTGTTTGCCTTCCCTGTCTGTAAAATGTACAATTTACATTGCACAAATGTGTTGTATATATCGTATATGTATTGTAAAGTACTCACAATGATGTTCTGTATGCTCTACAACTGTCTGTACAGTGAACAGTGCAAACATGTACTGTATGTATAAATAGTACTCACATGATGCTCAGAGGGCAAAACTTAAAAGAAATTTACAGGGTATCCCAAACCAAACCTGGCCACGAAACCGGGTTAGCTCTCTTAAGTCTGGGTTTGAGTTTCGTAAGGGTTTCGGGAAACTCCGAAAACTCAGAATGTTACGGGGCAATACCTCAAAATGAAACCCTTGTATAGGAGTAGGGTTACGGCTGGGAAAGTGAGTTTCGTAGTGATTGTGGAATATTTGAAGCACTATTTCTTCGTATTTATGCTTTAAATGGCTTCATATATGTTCCAAATACTTGATCCGTTAAGATCTCTCTCTCTATAGACTCGATATTGAATAGAGTACAGTCAAATCGAACTTAAAAACATTTTTCTGTTAAAAGTGAATACAGTAATTTATTTACGTTTATCTGCTAGCAGGCCCGTAACCAGGGGGGGGGGTGCAAGGGTGCACGTGCCCCCCCCTTTCTTCTAAAAGAGGGGTGCAATGACGAATTTGCCCCCCCCCCCCCCCTAGTCCCATATAACAGAAATTGTTTTCATAAGTTTCTAAAATCTAGTTTTAAATTATATAGCCCGAGTAAGAATAATAATATCAATAGACTGCTGAAGAAAAATTAACATCAATCTACCTAATACATTAAAATAGTTTTTTTTTTCAAAAAGTCCTGTAAATTACTTTTGCTTAAAAATCTTAGTGATATTGTAAAAATTTAGAATGCAACAGAAAAAAAAATTGTAGCCTTAGAAATTTTTTTTAATGAGATCCTTGTGCAAAAAAAACTTTTTTAAGTTTAATAAGTACCAAAAATATTCTATAAACTAAAAGAAAGTCTCAGCAAATTCACAAATGTATCTGATGACATCACACAACTACAGATATTTTTTAAAAAATCTGTAGCTCCACCTTTCTGGACATTATAAGAGTGTAAATTTAAATCTTTCCTTGGATGGGCCGACTATAACGCCAAAAAACTGATACCAATTTGATCACTTTCCAGTGCGTAGCAGCTTTATTCATAAAACACCACAGCTGGAGACTCCAATGACAGCATATTTTAACCCAGTTTCCTAGAGTTTCAAAATACGTTTTAAGAACATGAAACCCGAACTCTGCCAAACCTGGGTTTCAGGAAACCGGGTATCGTAGCGAGTTTTATAATTTTCTTAAGTTTTGCCCTCAGTATGAACATGTACTGTATGTATTATAGAGTTTACCTCAAGATGTTCTTTATGCCCTACACCTGTCTATACAATGTACAGTGTTCACATGTACTGTATGTATTGTAAGTACTCACATGATGTTCTGTATGCCCTGCCTGAGATCGTTATCCAGTTCCTCTTCTTCACTAGACGTAGATACACCCAGACCTCCAGCACTAGAATATATTTAAATAATAAACAATCAATTAAGTTTTGTGAGTCGTGACTGTATAGTCCCTACTGTAGGATGTATAGTCCCCAACTGTAGGATGTATAGTCCCTAACTGTAGGATGTATAGTCCCTAACTGTAGGATGTATAGTCCCCAACTGTAGGATGTATAGCCCCCAACTGTAGGATGTATAGCCCCCAACTGTAGGATGTATAGTCCCTAACTGTAGGATGTATAGTCCCTAACTGTAGGATGTATAGTCCCTAGTTGTAGGATGTACAGTCCCTAACTGTAGGATGTATAGTCCCTAACTGTAGGATGTATAGTCCCTAACTGTAGGATGTATATTCCTCAACTGTAGGATGTATAGCCCCCAACTGTAGGATGTATAGTCCCTAATATCTGTAGGATGTATAGTCCCTAACTGTAGGATGTATAGTACCTAACTGTAGGATGTATGGTATTTTCTCGAAAGAGGAAAAGACCTCATAAATAATTCCTAAGATGATGTGGTTGGAATTTGTAGAACAATACATGTATCAATACATTTATATTTTCTTTGCTTGTATCATTCATATTTATATATATTATACTTGTATTCCGTTGGATCCCATTAACGTGTTCTCAATGCTTCTTGTTACAGGACAAGATTATTAATTAATTAATTAATTTCTGCTGAAGGAAGAAATGTAGGAAATATCAGAACTAAACTCATTTCTAGATAGAAAAACGAAGTTATCTTCCACATTATTGCTGTAAAGAGTACGTATTGAATCATGCCTATTATGTTTATTTCAGAACTTTAAAACCATCATAGTTCCAGTAGAAGTAAATATTTCCATTTACTGATAGCGCTGATTGAAGGATTCATAACTCTGATTGGATAATGAGATAGATAGGAAGATAGATTTTACCACAGTACTATTTCTATTGGTTCAGAATAGACAACAAACACATGACTGAACCCTGATTGGATCAGTCGCTAATGGACTCGGCATCCAGGAGTGAAGCACGTGATTTTACCTTTAGTTTTGGAGAAGTAATTGGCAAAATTCTCATAGCGTTTTGCGTTAAAGCTTGGATCAATCACTATGACTTATTGATTTGGAAGTATACAGTCGTCTCGGAAGTATTATCCTTTGTGGGTTTCCTCCACTCTGAAACTTGATCATCAAATGTTTAAACAGCCTCAACTTAAAGTGTCGCAACCTCTTCGACTCACCATACTTTATTGTAGCCCTAGACATATACATTTCAATAATGCATTGCGATTGTTCCTAGGTTTAGCTTGAAAGTGGTGATTGACAAAATACTGCTCAATTTTTGTGTGAATAGCATTGGTTTGCTATGTAAAAAGGATTCAATGTTATTAAAGGAGATACTCCTTTATAATAACATTGAATCCTTGTTGTTTTTAGGACACTAAAGTTAACAACATTAGGTTGCACCGTTGCAAAGATATAGGGATTAGAAAATCAGAACTAATGGCAAAGATTCCTTAACTCTTGTAACTATATAAAAAATGTTTTTTTATAAATAATTTTACTTTTAAGACTATTTTTGTTTCTATCAATTTATTTTGAAAAATCTGCAAAGTTAAGTTTGAGGAAGACTGATAAAACTAGACTAACTAATCTCCCTAGACCTGTTTTCAATTAGCTGGATATATGTGCAGGAGGAGGGGGGGTTAAGTATTAAACATATGCAGGTAAAACATAAACTGGGAATGGGGAACACAAGATGCACTATGAGGCCCACCTCAACGAACATTTCTTGGGTTTTCTAAAATGTAAATTAATTTTTTAATCAAGATATGATATATTAGAAATTGCATATAATTTTTCATATATCGTAGTACTGTACTAATATCAATTATAAATCATTGAAATTTACCAGAAAAATTGCTTCTGAAGTGTAGTTATTTTAGACATTTAACTCCCAGTGTATTGTTAATTAATTGAAGTTAGGATTATTTGTTAGACATCTAACTCCCAGTGCTTTGCTTAAATAGCGTAGTTCTTTTTTATATATTCCTAAGGGGGCAGACCTTATCATTAATTAGAATTTCTCTTCTTGTTTTTAGGTCTAAACATGGTAAGACAACCAAAGTCTGAAAGTTTTTTATGGTTTTTTTCTAAATAAAACCAGCTATTGATGCATCGCTACGTGTTCGTAAATAAATTATGATGTTTGAAATATTTTGTTTGATGGAAAACAAAACCTACGAGATATGAATAAATATTCACATAAAATGTATATCCACCCCCCCGGGTCCTGGAAGAGAAATATAAGTGAAGTATTAATAAAACAGCGAGAAAAGAAAGTGAAATGAAGAGAAAAAGGAAATTGTCTATTTCACTTTCTCAGTTTATTGTTTCCGGCACGCAAAGCCTTTTAATACAATAAATACATTTTTCATTGAACGACCCTCTGGAGTAGAAAACGGTCACAGGCATAAAAGGCGCAGCTAAAAAATCAAAAGGGGGAGAACGAAGTTTGGTAAAAGTTGAAAGGTACTGAAAACTTGCCTCTTACTCACTCTAGTTTTCTGATCCTTAATACTTTGTAACCTGATGAAGTTGTAGACCTATGATATTTCAAAATTTGTAATACCAAATAGTTTAAAATATCAAGTTTACACCATCAGATTGCAAAGATATAGGAACGAGAAAACTAGAGTTTAAGGCAAGAGTCGAGAACGCTTAAAAACACACTTGCTGTTTAAACTTCTGAAAGATTCAATTTAAATCTTAGAAATGTCAAAATCAAATGCGCTAATTAAAATCCTTCAAAAAAAATTTTTTTTTATGAAGTGTACTTTTTTACACGAGTCTCAATTAGTTAGCCAATCAATTAGTTCCAACAATATTGCTGCAATAAAAAAATTTCCCTTCTCTCTAAATAAAACAGTAAATACTGATAAATAAATTCGTTTTCTATCACTTTTAACAGGATTTTTATTCTTCATTTTTTCTTTTAAAGAATTTTAGGAGTTTATGTCCGTTCCCTAAAATTTATATTTTTCCTGAACAGTGTCCGAATTTAATGAATTTAAGCCGCGTCTCAAATCATCCAAAAACCAGTTTCAATTAAGCGCCAGCTTAAATCTTGGAAAACTGGATAAATTTAAGTGGAACCAACCATATTTGAGCGACGGATTAAATTTAAGCCGCGGCTCAAATTCTTTAAATTCGGCCTCAGTTTACAGAAAAATCTTAAATGGATAATTTAGAATTATCATTTTTGTTGGTGAACAAACATTAGGAGAACGGTTTTCTAAATGAATCATGTAAATGTAAATTGTTAAGAAACTAAAAAATCAAACGATTTAAACAAGTCTAAACAAAATAAAAATCTGCATCAAACAGTTTAAGGATCTAACTTTTAGGAGTTTAATTTTAACGAAAGAAGAAAAAGAAATATTATATGATGAATTCCAGATGCTCTTCAAGATAATTTTCCGTTTTGACATTGCAAAAATTATTCTCTACAAGCAAAAGTTGCTTATTTAGATAAAAAAATTGAAATCTACGTTTTCTTTGAACTTTGAAGTCTAGACAAAGATTTTAAATAAAGAATAGAAAAGAAAAAAATCTTTTGACTAGTTAGAAAACTAGTCACGCAATCTAAGAATATAGATTAAAACTAAAGGAAGTTATTGTCGGTTTTTGCAACGAAAACATTTAGCGGACTTACTTTATTTACACTCTGGGAGATTAAAAGAAAGAGAGGTACAGTGTAACCCACAAAACTGTGGAATAGGAAGACAATTGTTAGGCTTAAGTTTTTAAAAGTCCAATAAACATGAAACATAGTAATTGTGCACTGTACACAGCCCCTTTTTACTTAATGGATGATATGCTACTTATAAAAGTGTTTGTTTTTTGTTCGTGTATGTACCAGGCTTTAAGGGCGCTTTGCGCCCTCTTCTTTTTCAATCGTGAACATGTTCTCAATCTCCTTGTGTAAATTGTAAAACAAAAACAACCCCAAAAATTTGCGGGTTTTCAAAATTTTCAAAAAAAATTTTGTAAGAAGCAAATTTTTGAAAATTCGATCATCCATAAACCTTTTCAGGGGTCACGCGAGGTCCCACAAAATATTTGGGCCGAATCGGTGAAGTCGTTTTGACGTTTATTGGATACAAACAAACAAACAGACAGACAGAAAAGCAAAGTATACATATAGATATGTATAAAAAAGTCGAAATGTAATTTAGCACTCATGTTTAAATATAAGAGTTATCAGTAATGATCTACCGCTATTTCAAGTCAAAGCGCGAGGTTTACAACTTGTCAGTTCTGATTTATTATTAAGAAAACATATTACATATTCTCAATGTTAAAAAAAAAACATCTTAATGAAAATTAAATGTTTTGATTTCCGAATTAATGATTACCAAGAAGAGTTTTGGTAGTTACCAAGAAGAGTTCTGGTAGTTAACAAAAGAGTTTTGGTAGTTACCAAGAAGAGTTTGATAGTTACCAACAAGAGTTTTGGTAGTTACCAAGAAGAGTTTTGGGAGGAATTATTGATCAAGAATACGTTTAACTAGGTACGGATAGTTCTCTACTGTGGACAAGATTGCAAGAGAGAAGTAGTTTAAATAGCTAATGCATAGTTCAACTGCTTCATTAATTCCAACCTTAGTTATTTATTTTTGTGTGCATTGTTTGTATATTTGTTTGAATCCAATAAACGTCAAAACGGCTGAACCGATCGGGCCCAAATTTTGTGTGGGACCTCACATGACCCCAGGGAAGGTTTTATTAAGGTTTATATAATGATCAAAATTTCAAATATTGGCCTCCAAAAAAATCGATTTTAATTAAATTTTGAAAATTCACAATTTTTTTATAAAATACGCAAACTTTTCTGTTTTTGTTTTACAATGTATACAAATAGAAAGTCTAGAATATAAAAACTTGGCTTGTCGGTTCGTCTGTTTTCTTGTAACCGATAAACGTCAAAACGGGACCTCATAACGACCCCAGGAAAGGTTTAT